TGAAATGGAAAATTATGATCTAATTTAAATTCACACATTTAAGATATTAAGCGGATCCCTGCTGTGCAACAGCTTGAAGCGTGTATTCCAACACTGTCCTCAGAAAACTATTTCACGTGAGGCCAGGGCTGCTAAGAGTAAAAGGTGATTTTATTAAGTGTGATAAGACTTCCAAAGACCATGAAAAGAAATAACCCTTCCTCAAAGATCAATTGCTAACATATTTACATACAATACACAAAAGAACTGCCGAAGTAATTTAAGAAAACTTTTTTTTTCAAATTGCCCCCACAAATATCTACTGGACACATGCTACATCGCACTCACTATGCTTTATGACAGTGTTATTCTAGAAGGATTCCTGAGGTGGCCTCCACGGATCCTTCTCCTGGTGTTCACACCCTGTTGTGATTCCCCTCCCCTTGTGTGAAGGCAGAAGCTTGACTTGTTCCCAACAAACAGAATATGGCAAAGGTGATGGGATGTATGTAATTATGTGTATGTGATTGCATGGTTATGTACATAAGATTATAGTCCCGTCTCGCTGGGGTCTCTCTCCCTTGCTAGCTCCAAGGAAGCAGGCAGTCATGGTGGGATAATGAAGGCGGCTTCTTGAGGCAAAGGGGGGCTCCCAGCCAACAGCCTGTTAGGGTCTCCAGCCAGAACTCAGCAAGAAAAAGAATCCCTCGGTTCTACCACCACAAAGAATTGGATTCTGCCAACAGCCTGAGTGCACTTGGAAGCAGATCCTTCTCCCACTGACCCTCAGATGAGGCAGCTCTGGCTTCCCGCCCGGTTGCCTTGTGAGACCTCCCCTGAGCAGAAGACACTGTTTAGCGGAGCCTAGACCCCTTATTCACAAAAACTGGGAGATGACAAATGTGTGTTGCTTCAAGCCACTAACATTGTGGTAATATTGTTACAAAGTAGTAAATAACTAGGTCCTCAGTCTTTCTTTGTCTTTCTTGACCTTGAAGTCTTGGAAGCATACAGGCCAGCTATTTTGTACAAAGTGCCTCAAACTGGGTGTGTTTGTTTGGAAATCCCTCAATCCGATCCTCAGGATTAGATTTAGATTCAGGAATAACATAGAAGTGATGTTGTGTCCTTCTCAGAATATCCTATTTAGAGGTTTATATGCTTGGTTTGTCCCACTATAAGTGATATTAAATTGATCACTTGGTTAGAAAGGTATCCATAAGTTCTCTCCATTGTAAAGATACTATTTCCCCATGATGACTAATAAAAAACTTATGAGGAGATACTCCATTCATCATCAAACTCTCACTGATTAGTTTTAGTAACCATTCATGATCCTCTTACTACATAATTCCTTTTGTATTCATTAGTTAGCATTCTACTGTAAGGAACATTCTCTTCTTTCCTATTTACTTACTTATCTAGTGATTGATTTATACCAGAGTGAAATTACAGTTTCTTATTTTAGTCAGCTGTTAAAATCTGTTACTATTACTGTATCCCAATTTTGATATTTAAGTTGCTCTAGATTTGTCCATTGGAAGCTCCCTGCAGATATATCCTCTGTCCTTCTGATATATTGCCATCTTTTCAAGCCTTTCTAATTTTCTAGCAAAACAAGATTTTCCAGGCTTATCTAATACTTTCTGTGTCCTAGACCTGGAATTTTTTCTCCACAGACTTCTGATTCCTTTTAAAGTGAAGAATGGTTTTTAGACACCAAAATCTGGGTACTAACTGTACTCATTGCTACTGGAATGTCATAGCTTCTAGTACTTCTCAGTGACAGGGCTGAAGTAGATACAGAGATATATCCAACAAAATATGTGTAAGACAAATATACTAAAAACTACATTACTGGGAGAAATTTTAAAAGACTAGAATAGATGGATAAATCCACTATGTTCATGGATTATAAGACTCATCATTATTAAGTTGTCAATTATGAAAATGTCTTAGCATCTTACAAAGCTGCAAGTCTATATATTGGCTGGGATTGTGGTCACATCTGGGGCTCGAATGGGGAAATATCGACTTCTGCACTCACACAGGTTGTTAGCAGAATTTGGTTCCTTGTATTTGTAAGACTGAGGGATCCATTCTCTTGCTGACAGGAACTCCTTGTAGGCTGTCAGCTGGAGGGTACCCACAGCACTTAGAAACTGCCTGCATTTCTTCATCATGTGGGATTTCTCCCCGTGATACAACTCACACCCACACACAAACCCACATATTTAATTTTTAACCTCCAATTCCATTTCAACACCACAATGTACCTTCTAGTCTTCCCCCTTCAATAGTGAGGAAACTGGATCCCATTATAAGTGCAAATATATTAATTTTCTCAAGCCTGGAATACACTGGAAGGTTGCAAAGGGGACAGAATATACTGTATGGGATTTGAATGAAAAAAAAAGCAGGTCAGTCACTGATATGAGGAATTCTTAATCGCAGGACACAAACTGAGGGTTGCTGGAGTGGGGGGTGGGGTGGGAGGGATGGGGTGACTGGGTAATAGACACTGGGGAGGGTATGTGCTCTGGTAAGCGCTGTGAATTGTGCAAGACTGTTGAATCTCAGATCTGTACCTCTGAAACAAATAATGCAATATATGTTAAGAAAAAAAAAAAAAAGGAAGAAGAAGAAGGTAGCAGGAGGGGAAGAATGAAGGGGGGGAAATCGGAGGGGTAGACGAACCAGACGATGGACTCTGAAAAACAAACTGAGGGTTCTAGAGGGGAGAGGGGTGGGAGGATGGGTTAGCCTGGTGATGGGTATTGAGGAGGGCACATTCTGCATGGAGCACTGGGTGTTATGCAACAAACGATGAATCATGGAACACTACGTCTAAAACTAATGATGTAATGTATGGGGATTAACATAAGAATAAAAAAATTAAAAAAAAAAAAAAGCAGGTCAGGAAAGATTTCATGACTCCTGTAATTTACATTCCTTTTTTTGAGAATTTGATCATCATTGATTTATTTTTTTCTAGTTGTATGATCAAAACCTCAACAGTAGAGGTAGGTAGAAGTCAAATCATGCGGAACTTTGTAAGCCACATTAGAGAGTTTGGGTTTTATTCTACTACGATGGGAATTGGAGGCCTTTCTGTTAGGCCTCCATTGTGCATTTGTTTGTTGTAAATAGCATTAACAGCATTTTTAAAGTTATTTCCTGATAATGTTTATTATTTACTCAATCTTCAACTCATTCTAAAACAAGATTGGGGATGCTTAGGGCAATCCATACCAGTAAGTTAAAACATTAAAAAATCTATCAGATAGGGATAAAAAATAAAATGGAGCTGGGAAACAAGAGGTCAGGGTGAGGTCACCTTTAAGAACTTTAAAGTTACAGAGATTTGTTACAAATTTTATCTGAGATCTCTGGAGACTAGAACAGTTTGAAATAACTCATCCCCCAAACCACTGTGATATGCTCACTTCAAGTAACCAGCCTTCACAAGAACCCCCAATCTGCCATGTATACCACACAGAATTCAGACTCGCTAATGGCAGAATCCACGGATTGTTTTTCTTGCAGTAACTTTTCAGAAAACTCTCTGGTTTCTGATAATTTAACCCTTTCAGGTTAAGAGAAAAATGGACAGTTAGATAGTGCTTGTTTATTTAATCAAGGCAGCCAGCTGAAGCAAACAATTCAAGCCAAAAATTCACTTCATTTTTTGTAGGAAAGTATAGTTTTAAATTATAACTGACCCTCTGTTAGGAGAAAGGCATGGATTTCCACAGGGAAAAACTGAGCACTGAGGACAAAGTCTCGAGTTCACGAGCACTGTAATCACACATCAGGATCACAGAACTCGCATTTTAAAATCTGATATAATTTATTGCACATTATTTCACATTCTACTGCTTTGCTTACTTTTTGTTGGTTTGTGGTTACTTGCATACATCAGTGAAGTTTCAGAAAAACTATAATTATAGAAGGACAATTATTTAATGCAGGAAGGATAAACCATTGCATTGGCGGGTTGGAAGACATTTTTTAAAGTTCTTATATTATCAATTTAATTATGCATTTCTATGTAGTAATACTCATTCTATGAGTAATGTCTAACATTCTTGCCAAGAATAGTTTGAAAGGACTTTGTTAAAAGTATGTCAGCTAAATCACTATGGGTATATCACTGCTAATGGTGTCGTTCACACGTTGTGAAACATACAACTCCGTATTTCATTCTGCCCCCAAATTAGGTCATTGCAAAATACCGTTATTAAAACTGCAAATTGCGGGACAAGGAGATGGAGATGAGAACAAAGCAAAAGGAAGACACCCATTCCTTTTTGGAAAGCATGATTGGGATAGGACAAAATAGAGTAGGAAAGCTGAGCCCTTTGAAACGGATACTTTTTTGTGGGGTGTGTGTTAATTCCATTTAAATATAAATGACTAATAAAACTTGGGCTAACCAGTCTGCTCTGTACTATCCGCGGGTAGCGTCTATGCTCTCTAACCTAATTGTACAGAGGTTCCCTTGTCTTCTGACTTCATACACAAACCATGATGATTATTTCAGTTTTACCTTTTCCTTTTCCCAGAAAATCTTGTTGCAGTCATAAAAAGGGAATGTTTGATGCAAAGACGCCTAATTTATAATTATTTGTGGTTATTAACAACATAGTAATTACGGAAATGCCTTTGTTGGAAGTTACCCACCAGGAGCCGCAAATCCGTGGCACACACCCCCGGGCTGCCTGGGCTCGGAGGAAGGTCGATCCCTGCGCCTTCCAGACCCCAGCCCTGGGGAGGAAAGCGAGGCCGGTCGGTCACTGTTCACTCAGACCTGAGAAAAGTCGCCAGGGTAGCCGCACCTCTTACTTTTGGTGGAAGGTTCCCCTGACTCCAGCTTTCAGGACTTGGGATGGGCGCACACATCGCGACTCTCCCTTTCCTACTGCGGGGCACTCTGCGAACACACCCCCAGTCACCTCTGCGCGCTCCCCGGAACCCGCTCAGCCCACAGCGCACCCCAGCGGCCGAGCGGCCTCCTTCCAGCGGCGGCCACGTAGCTGCCGGCGAGCTCGCCAGTTGCCTCCGCCGCCGCCTTGGAATCTGGGGCCCCGACGGCCGGCGAGACCCCGCCTCCGCCCGACCCCGGGGAGGCCGCGCGGCTGCTGCGCCTGCCCCAGCCGCCGCACCTGGGAGCGGTGATCACCAGGAGAGGTGGGGCGTGGCAAGAGGCTGGCCGGGCGCCGGAGCAGCTTCGCCAAAAGCCAGCCGGACCGGCGCAAGGCGGAGGGGGAGGGTCTCGGGGCAGAGGCCGGCTCCTCCGAGGGAGAGACCCCAGCTGGGGTGGAAAAGGGCACAAAGCAGCTGCACAGACGCTGGGCGCGGATCATGGAGCGGGCCAGCCCCGGCTCCGGGGAGTCGAAGCTGCAGCGGGACCAGGATTCCGTGGAAGCGTGGCTGGATGATCACTGGGACTTTACCTTCTCTTACTTTGTTAGGAAAGCCACCAGGTAAGAAGAGGGCCCCTGGAAGACCCACCCGGGGCGCTGAGAGTGACCTGGGGGCTCATCTCTCTCCCTTACTGAACTTTCCTCTTCCTTTACCATTAAACGACCTCGGTTCCCAGGCCCTTTGCTTTTGAAGTAGGTCTTTGGTCCTGCTAGGGTGTAGACACCTCGACTTTATGGCTAGTACAGTCGAAAAGCCCAAGCGTGGGATTCGATCCAACTTGCTCAAAAAGTTCAATGCAAAAATGTACATGCGGACCCCCCCCCCCCCCCACACACACACAGCCCGGCTGCCCCGGTATTCCCTGAGAGCAAGATTATTTACATACATCCGCGCTCACGGGCCTTCCCCCAGCCCTTCTTTAGCCTCCCAGTCCCCCTAAATCTCCTCAGCGAAACCAAAACAGTTTTGAGCCCCTTCCCTGCGGCTCCGGAAGCACCATTTCCAACTCGGTCCCAGCAGCTCCGCTCCTCCCCCGTCCCCCCTCGCCCTGGCCCTTGGCGGGGCGGGGAAGTCGGGGTAGGGGCGAGACCACGAGGAGCCCAAAGGCAGCAACATGCCGGAATCTTCCCAGAGTAAGCGCTGTCGCCTTTTGCCCCTTTCCAGTCCCTTGCTTGGCCCGGCGCTTCCTTTCACTCTCTCTTGCTCCCAAGGCGGCGCCGCTGGAAGGGCTCCGCAGAGGGGTTCGCGGCGCGCACACAAAGGGCGCTGGGGAGGCGCGGCGGGAGCCGACAGCGGGGCGCTGACGGGTCCCGCGCAGCCCCAGCCGACCCCAGAGGCCAGCTCTTCCCGGTCGAGAGCCAAGCGCCGGGGCGGCCGCTGCCGAGGGCGGGGCGGAGGGTGCCTGTCCTTTGGGAGGTGGCTGCCCGGGGGGCAGTTGGGGCGCGCGTGGGAAACGCTCCCGGAGAGTTGGGGAGGAATTGAGGTGGAAGCCGAGGAAGGAGGGGCCGGAGCGGAGAGTGGAGGCGGGCGGATGCCCTGAAGCCTGAGGAGTTGGTGGGAAGCCGCTGGCGCGGGCAAAGGCTTCTGCACGCGGACTCCGACTGCCTCCAGGACGCGCCTCTTTGGAGAAGAGTCCCGAACCCGCCGCCGCCGCCGCCGCCGCCTCCAGGCAGCGGCCGTCGGGCAGCTGGCGCGGGCTGCCTTGGCCGCCAGGAAAGCGCTCTCAAGGCGGTGATGGTGGAGCGGCCGGCCGAGGCCCGGCGCTGGGCTCCCCCCCGCCGGCGGTCGGCCTCCGCTCTGCCGGGCGCTCCCCGCCAGGGGGCGGCGCAGCGCGGAGCGAGCGGGCTGCGGCGGGCGGCGGCCCGGTGGCGGGGTCGGTAAGGGAGCAGGCGTCGAGTCACCGCCTCCCCTGGGCACGTCGTCGCCCCCCGGCGCCTCCCGGAGTCCAGAGTCTGCGGAGGCCGCGTGGTCTGCACGTGGACCTTCCTATGTTTGCTGTGTTGCCCTTTGGAGACAAAACAAGGTAGTCCCTTCAGCCTCCCCCCACTTGCCACTTTACCTTGGGGGCGCCCAGCGGGGGGCGGGGGGGCAGAGGGATGCTTCATTGAAAATGGACTGTCTGATATTTTTGTCTTCCTTTATGCTCTTACGGTGTATTCCTTTGGGATTTTAGAAGGGGCTCTTTTTAAGGCAGTTTCTCCTAAACGAGTTTGTGTCGATTTCATCCCTTTCGGGGGTTTTGGACCGAGGCGATAGCTTAGGGCAAATCTTATCTCTTCTGTTTAATTACTCCGCCCTCCTTTTAAAGTCCTCTTTCCCCGCTTTGGCTGTCTTCCTTCAAAATCTGAATCTGGAGCAACCAGAGGATAAACCCTGAAAAGAAAAGTGGTTTCTTTTCAAAGGACAGTTTCCTGCGAGTTCGGGGTGAGGCACGAAGGCCATCTAGATCTGGAACTATTGATTGTTGTGGGCCCCCAGTTTTCAAAGGTCACCTGCTACTCCGAGGCCATCTGTCCCTAGTTTCCTTTCACCCTTGCGCACTTCCACTTTTCTGCCCCCATTGAATGGGGAGCGGGCAGGAGAGCTGGGCTGATTTTTTTCAGTGTGTCAGGCTGTTCTTTGGAGATGTTCTGTAGGCAGATTATTAGTAGTTGAAAGAAAAAAGTGATTTGTCTTACAAGTCAACATCAGTGTCCTCTTCTTTTTTTCCTTCTCTCCCTTTAAAGACAGAAACTTAGGATAGTTTGGTGATCTTTTTAAGTAGTCATACATAAGAACACTTCACTCAGAGCCTGCCAAATCTTTGAAAGTAACATTTTATTGGAAGTTAAATGGAAGGGGTTACATTTAATTTTCTTTTCACATTACTTTTTCTCCCAAGTAGCACAGGATTACAGTCCTCATTTCTCAAAGTTACACTTTTCTGTGTAAAATTCAGATCATCTGAAACTCTGTATAAAGACTTTTTTAGTTACGGTTTTTATATTATAGTTGATGTTGACAATAGGCTGACCACTTTCTATGACATGTATGTGTATATATATTCTTATATATTTCTAAGAGTTTATGTTGAGTAAAACGTGGAAAACGAAAGTGTAAAATATTTAAGAGTAGTACAGGCCCTCCTTAAGTATAAAGTGCTGAAAGTTGTCAGTTTAAAGAATACGACCTAAGAGCTTGTGTGTAGTCAGAGGTTCCTGTTTGGGCTTATATTTGGTGGCATTAACTAGAGATTTAAGATTGAGAGATTAGACAGTAGTTGATTATAAAAATTCCAAACTTCTAAACCCAGTGTGATTCATATGGTTGTGGTAAAAACTTATTGCAGACATTTTAACTTTATAGCTAGGATTTTTTTTTTTTTCTTTTAACTAGAAGCTGTTACTCTGCTTTTATCCTTTTTGTTACACTCTGTAAGTGTAAAATGAGTACTGTGTGTGATTCAGGACCCCATGAGACAGTTCTGTAGAAACATTTAACATGTTTTTAAATTTAAAATAAATTTGGATTCACTTAGATTGGCCATCTGTGCCGGTAAACAGGCATGTTGATGGAACTACTTCCATGCATGACATTCATGCATGCTTTTTTATCCTATTCCCAAACTGAATGATCTGTACTCAGTAGTAGTCACTGAACAGAATGAAGGTTTCTGGCATCCCTAAATTCTCATTTAAATACCTGTGAATTTTGGTTGACCTTGAAAGCAGTTCGGCTGCTATATTACATTGTTTCCTATAACTATCTTCAAATACAGAGCTAAGCACCTAGTTCAAAGCTACAAGCTTGGAGCATAGATGCTTTTTAGTAATCACAGCCTGTTGATGTGAATTTGAGTGTCAGTTGAACAATTCATAACATAATCTATTGGCATAAAAATTAACTGGAGACTAGTAAACTACAACATACGGAAACTCCCACCCTCACCATTCTAGACAACTTTGCAGTTCTACCCGCCTGAGATACTACTGTGTTAATTAAGGGCTCTAATCTTCATGCTTTTGCAAATGAAGGCTTCCGGGTGCTAATGCCACTTTAACAGCTGTTGTTATTCTTGACAGCATATTAAAATAATGTTACCTTTCATTAGTTACTAATCATTTCTGCCATTGTGGGTTATGTTTTAGATCATTTAGTATTGTAGGGGTAACGTGATTGACTTCTTATTGCTTTGTTTTGTACTAGGCAAAAGCTTGAGAATATTTGACATATAATGGAAATAGGAGTTACTAATGAGGACCAGTTTTTATGACCGCTTGGATCAAAGTCCAGAAACCGAAGTTTTACACTTCCATGTAACTTTCTATGAGAGACTTTTTACTTGACACTGCAAAACTGTGCTGAATTAGTTGACATTCTGGGTCCTGTGTTTGAGACTTTTTTCTTTTCTCTTTTCTTTCTTTCATATTTTTTTCTTATCTCTAAAAGCTGTAACATTTTTATTGGCAAGATATTTGTATTAAAATCAGATGATGGATATAAAATAAATATTGCCATCCACTTTTTAAAAACACTGTTTCTGTAATTACATAGGAATATAGTTTTCAATTTTCAAACAAATGATTTGTTAAGCATATTTTATTAAGCTGTCAGTAGTGTTGAAGATAATAAAACCCTGTGGTTATTGACTCAGTGTGACTTTAATATTATTTATAATATTTTTTATGATGGTAATTCTGATGCAGGAATGACCTTTTCTTTTTGTATTGTTTATAAACAGGGTTCATATGGTCAGCTTTAAGCTGCTTTTTTAGTGCCCTGAAAGTACTCATGTGTATCAGATTCTTTCCTCCTAAAAGAAGCTGTAGGAGCCCTTATAATGATGTTTCCCATTGCCCTTCTATCGCTAGTGTTCTCAGGGTTTCAAATTCAGATCCATTTTAGAGTCTGCAATGCAAGGTCATGATTCCTAACAATGTGGTAGAATTAATGCAGTGGCAATTATTCATAGTTGCATATCTCAAAATAAATCTATTTGCTTAGCTAACAAAAACTTAAGTAGGCATATAGTACAATTCAGTAGCTTTTTTTCAGATCTGTGAAAATGGCTGATATTTTCATAAGATCATGTTTTCAACACCTCAAGGTGTACAATTTTTAGCATTTTGAATATGGTGTGCAACAAAATTTTCTTTTAAAGTAATTCCACCTAAATATTTAAGTATTTAAAATATCTGAAACTGACCCTCCCCCCTCTCATGTGCTCTCTCTCATTCTCTCTCTCTCTCAAATAAATAAATTCCTTTTTTTTTTTTAAAGATTTTTATCCATTTACTTGACAGAGAGAGACAATGAGAGAGGAAACACAAGCAGGGGGAGTGGGACAGGGAGAAGCAGGCCCCCCGCGGAGCAGGGAGCCCGATGCGGGGCTCGATCCCAAGACCCTGGGACCACGACCTGAGCTGAAGGCAGACGCCCAACGACTGAGCCACCCAGGCGCCCCAATAAATAAAATCTTTAAAAAAAAACCCAAACCAGGTTTTGGCGTCTTCTTCCCTCAGGCCGGTCTAGTAGACCACAACTACACACGCCCAGCCGGGACCCTGCGGAGCTTGACCACCCAGAACTGGGCGACCACGCCTACCCCCTGCGCCTGCGGACAGGCCAGCTCCGAAAAGCGCCCAGAGGACCTGCAGGCCCCGCCCCACGGGGCGGGGCCTAGAGGCTCATCGCGCCTGCGCGGAGGCCCGAGGGCGTGCTGCGCCGTTACTTTTGAAACGAGTGGCGGGGAACTGCTGTGGGCGTCTCTGCTGTCGCTCTCTGCCGGGGGAAAGCGCACTCCTTCGTCTGTAGGACTGGCCATGGCGCTGCAGCTCTCCCGGGAGCAAGGCATCACCCTGCGCGGGAGCGCCGAAATCGTGGCCGAGTTCTTCTGTAAGTCGTCCTCGCGCAGGCCGGAGGGCGGGGTGAACTGAGGCCAGGCCGCCCGGTAGGCCCGGGGCTCAGCCGCGGAGGCGGGGGAAGCGGGAGGGGGTGGAGGGGAGGCCGCGAGGCCGCGAGGCCGCGAATTAAGCTCTCTCTGCCCCAGCCTCCTGCCCGGCGGGAGAATCTAGGAAGAAGCGGATGCAGACGCCGCCTCCGGGCTCCTTGCTAATGGTGGAGCTTGAGGCCTAGGTGCTGCTGAGGCCTGCGGCGCGATGTAGCCCCTCCACCTGCAGCGTTGCTTTCAACTACAGAGCCAGGCACTTTCCGCCCGCCCCCAGCCTCCGCGACTTCAGACGGAGTAGGACCGGGGTGGGGGCCACGTATATTTTTAACAACCCCTCGGCCCCTCTTTGATTCTGGTATTGGCGGTGATGGACTAGAGTTAGGAAACGCCATTCCGGACCAGGACAGTTGTGCCTTCTGATAGGATCTGGCAGGACTTGTGAGGAGAAAAGGAGGAAAAAGAGGGAAAGGTTTGCTGAGAGCATTGCAGAGAACAGTTAATCAGTTGCTAACTGAGATGCAAAAGCCTATTTTGACAGCCTCTAACCACATAATCTGAATTGGGACTTGGATTACAGTGAGTTGTAGTACTACTTTGACAGTAGATTAATGCAGTTTGGCGTTTTTCTCTTTTTTTGCCACAGAAATGCAGGTATCGTGTTCTCTCTTAATTAGAAGCAAGGTTTTAAGAATGTTTAATGCCACTTTTTAGGAATACTTTTATTACAGCCCATCAGGGGCTGTAACTTTAACCTACGAATTGGTGTGGGAGGGAGACACAATTCAATCTATGGCAAGCAGCAATAGTTCAGCTCTCCCCACCGCGGCGTGCACTCACGCACACGCGCACGCACGCACGCATTCTCGCGCACGCCCGCACGCATTCTCGCGCACGCACGCATTCTCGCGCACGCACGCACGCATTCTCGCGCAGGCACGCACTCACAAGGCGCGGCCCCGGGAAAGGGGACTAGAGTTTATGTGTCCTACCGTCAGCAGCTGGGAAGCTGTGTAGGCCCCTCTCTTCCTTCTCCAGGCCTTACAGGGGTCCTAGCCTGCTGCAAGGGGTAAGTTAAAGGGGTTTATGGAAGATCTTGCGGCACACTGGGCAACACTCCATCTGGTCAGCCATCAAAAGAGTTCTAAAGATCATTGAGTAAAAAATATATTCACTGGACATAGATTGGAAAAACAGCCAGTCTGCTTAGTCCCTGGGCCCAAGACATGGACAGTATTTGGAGGCAAGAGTACAACATAAGGAAATCATCAGAAGCACAGGCAAAGAATTATGTACCAGGATGTTCATAGAAGCATTATTTAAAGTTGCAGAACAACCAAAAAAAAAAACCTGGACTCAAACCAAATAGCCCAAAATATGGGATAGTTAAATAAGATGGGCTATTAAACAGACATTAAATATTATGTTTTCAAAATATATTTAATTAAATGGAAAAATACCAGATACTGTAAAGTTAAAAAACATGCACAGCCGTATATATAGTATGTTTTAAATCAGTGTCAAAAGTGCTACGTTCAAAATGAGCCGAGACTTGTGAAAAATACTTAGGACAATATAAAATACTCTTCCATCATATTTTAGGCAATGAGAAAAGACAAGGCAGGAAAAGAACCGTACTGCTTGGGGAAGAGAGCAATTTGCTAACAAACATTAGAATTTCTTTTTCTCCAGCCAGGAAAATGATCTTCAAATTCTACAAATAGAATATGCAAAGAAAACGTAAATTTCAACACCAAATGGTGAAGAAAGCTAGTAGTCCATAGTTTAGATAAAGATAAAAATCCTGTGTTTGTGTACCATCACATCTATGACACTGGGCACATTGGCACATAATACCATCTCAGTTAAACTTGTGACAAACAACTAAGTATAAGAATGAATACAATGAATACGCACTGAGAAGTATTCAAAATGGTGGTTATCAGTAGCTTAGAAGTGGGAGATATGCAAAGATAATTGATTAAAGGGTATAAGCTTCCAGTTACAGGATTAGCAAGTTCAGGGGCACCTGAGTGGCTCAGTGGGTTAAGCATTTGCCTTTGGCTCAGGTCATGATCCCGGGGTCCCGGCATTGGGCTCCCTGCTCAGTGGGGAGCCTGCCAGGGAGCCTGCTTCTCCCTCCCTCCTCGCTCTTGCTCTCTCTCGCTATCTCTGTCTCTCTCAAATAAAAAAATAAAATTTTGAAAAAAACTAAGATTAACAAGTTCTGGGGCTCTAATGTATAACATGGTGATTACAGCTAATAATACTTTGTATTATATATGTTTATTTATATTTATATTATTATAGCTAATAATACACTTTAAAGTTGGTAAAAGAGTAACTCTTAAATGTTCTCACTACAAAAAAGAAATGGTAATTATGTGACAGGACAGAGGAGTTAGCCATAGGATTATGACTTAGTCATAATCATTTTGTAATACACAAGTTTATTAAATCAACACCCTGTATACCTTAAACTTACACAATGTTATATGTCAATTCCCTCTCAATAAAGTGGGGTAAAATTTTTTAAATATATATTTTTTAAAGTATCAAGGACTTCAAAAAAATTCAGTGATATATCGAGTTGCTCAAAAAATGTCCAGGTATGTCCTCAGTATTTGTAGATAAATTTCAAAACATCAACGAATCTCTTGAACGGTTTCAGAAGAGTGTGTAGAGATTTTCCAATAATTTATCCTGGAAATGAAAATTGATGTATTCGATACATTCAATCCTAAAGACCAAGGAGATGTTAGAGCAGATTGCCATACAGGTGATTGATCAGAAGGGATTGTCGTGCTTAATGTCAAAACAATTATATATCCTTTTAACCATATGTGACCCAACAGAACTCAGCCTCTGCTGGTAATTGTCTTTCATTATTTGGTTAAAAAATTTTTTTTTAACAAAAATAGGGAACCACTGGAGATTTTTGAACAGGGAAACACCTCTCATTGATAAAGATCAGTCAGTTCTGTACCTAATACACTGGAAATTGAAGAGACTGGAGGCCTAAAGATCAAGCATATGACAAACTAGAATATTCTAGGTAAAAGCAGTAATAGGGTAAGAAATACAAAGTAAAAGTCAAAAGGGTGTTAATAGTAGAGACATAAAGAGAAAAGCAGCAGTACAACTGACCTAGCTGGAAGATGGAAACAGAAAAAATCAGAGACTATGCCAAGATTTCAAAATTGGATGGCTAAGTGAATAGTTGTGCCATGACTAGAAAGAAGAAAGTCGTGTTTCCTAACTTAGAGTGAGGTGATGCTTAATTCGATTATTACTCATTATACGTTGGAACTCTCAAATAGCGCATTGAGATTATGGACCCGGCCCTCTGGAGAAAAGTATATGCAGTCCTGCGCCTACACCGTGACGGAACCCGGGAGGTGGGGGTGTGGGGGTGGGGGGGCGCCGAGGTTGTGCACATAGCCTGCTGGGCCAGGTGGAGCACGCCATCTGCTGTGACTGATATTCGCAAAAATGAGTCCCCGTGTTCTACGAAAAAGAAGTTCATTGAGTTTTGAGTGTAGTCCACGTCCACTAACTGCTTCCTCTTATTCCATTCTTTACTGTGTGCTGAAGACCCATCAACGAATAAAGCAGTCTCTTGAGATTGCCACGAAGCACAAAATTTTAGAGATTTTTTTCAGTATTCTCTATATAAGAATAACAGTGTGTTGTAGAAATATTTCTATCAGAAATAGTAAAAAAAAAATAGGCTTGTCATTTAAATGCATATTCTTCGGATATCTGGGAAGTGTACTGGCATGGAACAAACTTTTCTTGAGCAATGCTGGGAAAATGAGGTGTTGCTGTATTGGGTTAGTGATATTAAATCAGAGATTATATGTAGACAGTGAAGGGATTGAGAAGTAATTTTGGTTTCCTTTTCAGAACGGGGGGATCAGAGAGATTTTTTTTTTTAATAATAATCATCAAGTACGGTAATGGCAAACACTCTGAAAATATTAAGTGTTGCAAGCAATTTATTATGTCTATTACATTCTCAGAAAGACAATCAGTCAATATTGCAATCTTAAATATAAACTTGCAGAGTGCTAAATCCTCTTGCAAACTAAACTTCAAAACCCTCAACGATGATTGTCTATAATAAACAAGGCAGAGTAGTTTACTTATGGCCCAAAGTTAGACTTTGAAGTTCACTTTTAAAGAACGTATTTGATAGTAGTTCTCCAAAAGAATGTTAATTACGAAAATGAAAGGATGGATTAAGTCCTGTAAAATTTTATTTTTCAAAGAAATGCTTCAATGCCTCCTTTGATATATGACTCATTTCACCACTTTAAAAGACATAGCAACAGTAAAAACTTCTTTAAAATTAGCAAATCAAAAATTCTAAAATCTCATGATCTGTGTTCACCTCAAAATCATAATACCATAATGATTGCAAGGATGACATTATTGTATGTACCACAAAGAAAGGAATAAAAACAAAGCTACACAAGTTATAACACGTGTTTTTTGTAGCTCAGAACTTTCACTACATACTTACTGAAAGAGCTTTATAATACCTACTGAGGTATAGGTTTTTATCTTATGCCCTGCTTGAATCTATATAAAAATGAAACTGTAAGAGGGGCGCCTGGGTGGCTCAGTCAGTTAAGCATCCGGAGGACTCTTGGTTTGGGCTCAGGTCATGGTCTGGGGCTCATGGGATCCAGCCCCAGATTGAGCTCCAGGCTCAGGCAGGAGTCTGCTTGTCCCTCTCCCTACCCTTGCCCCTCCCCCTGCTCCCTGTTCACGTGCATGTGTGCTCGAGCTCTCTCAAATAAATAAATAAAATCTTAGAAAAACAATAAAGTATAAGCAAAACAAATCGGTTAGGGTATTCCTAAAGCTTACTCCCATCCCAAATCCAGTATTTCCAAACATGTTCAACTCAGAGTCATGGATGACCATGTTTCCCACACAATACTATCATCTATGCTATCAAGAGTGCTGGTCCTACAGTATCGTCTCTGCAATTTTATTCCAAGTTGCTGATATTCATACTGTAAGTTTTTATGCACGTGGACTAGCAATGACAAGGACATCAGAACCACAAGACACAACCTGTTTCCAGAAATGTGAAAATGTAAAAAGAAATGTAAATGTTAGAATCTTTGAAATATGATGTATCTTAAGAGCTAAGATATAGTAAAGAAATTTGATTTACAGCTCTAATTTCTGACCCCCTCCCCTCATGGAAGTAGAGTTGATACACGGTTCCATTAGTTTCAGGTGTACGACCCAGGGATTCAGTGACTCTACACCTGGTGCTGTGCTCACCATTCAGCTCTAATTTCTTACAGGCTCTTGGACTTTCTTCGCTGTTCACCAGAAACTGTAAATCTGACATTTGCAAAGTGTTAACCTACTCTAAAGGGTGAATTTGGAACTTTAAAAAGGAAAGCAGTGGCCTTTCTACTGCTTCAGTGATGTCAGCACCAACAAAGGTAGCAGCCCCGGCATCCTCACCAGCTAAGGCAAAACCATCTATTTGGACTTACGTCTTCGGACCTGTTAAATTTATGTAGAACTGAACTCATCCTATCCCCACATTCCCAAGATTTTTAAAACAAACAAACAAGCAAAGTCCTTGCTTCTCGGAGGTTATAAGTAAATCTAAGGGAAATGGTGTTTTCTGTTGGGGTTGTTTGTTTGTTTGTTTGTTTTGAGAAAACATTGTCATCTTATTTCAAGTTATAGACTGACTTCTAGAAATGAGATTCAAATTTTTTGAGGCTATAAACACCGAGCCAAGCAATACTCTTGAAGTAAACATCCTAGAAGTCAGACTAGTATGATACATATGATTAAGGCATTGCTGTGCTCACTTTTGCAAGTTTATACTTAAACCAGAGAAAATCAGCTACAAGATGAATCTAAACAAATAGTATGCCGGAATATATTATGTACACTGAAATTTTAGTTTTTTAGCGTTCATAGCGGTAATGACTCAGATCAGCTTTGATATTTTTTTTTCAAACTTACCAAATATCCCAGAAAGTAAAAACACAGAAATAGCAAAATATTTTTTAGAATTTAAATGTAAAATGTTTTTAAATGCTAAATTCTGATCTGTTTGCCACTGGGAAAATCACATAATTTGCAACTAGATTCTGAGAAAGGGGGATTAGGAAAAAAAGTAAAGAGCGAACGATATGTTTTACTAGACATTTTCTTCATGTATGTTTATTACTTCTTTAAGAAACATAAGTTTTATCAATCTTTAGTTAAAAGCATGAAAGAAAAGCAATCTAAAATGGGTCAACTGAAAAAATATATATAACAACGAAACGCTAAAAATGAAATTACATTAGCATGTACCTGTATTTCAAATAGGAAAGTAGATTTAGCTTGAGATGATATTCAAAATCTTAAGTGCTGGGCACAGACACCAATCAATGAGAATGGCACTGCTCTCAATGGCCGGAACAACCATATATATTATCAACTGGATACCAAGCCAGCAAGTCAGCCTGTGATGTGCTCCACCAATTGCTCAACATCCCAATATATGGGAGAAATAAATGCAAGATGTCTACTACTTTTTGTTTGTTTTACTTACTAGAAGATTTTTGCATTTTCTTGGATCAGTTAATGTGGGGCAAAATGTTTAGAAAACAATGTGCACATTTTCCATTGATAGGCAAGAGATGATAGAGATATGGTGGCCAGTTACTCGAATTACTAGAGATGACAGGACCATCCAACAGAGGGAGGGAAGAAAAGGAATTCAGAAAAATGACAACAGAGAAGAAAGATGGCTAATGAGAAATTTCTAGTAGCCAACATGGCGAGAGGACTTTTAGGAACTACTGTCCTGATTTAATTTGCTTTTTTAATTCTTTCTGTGTTTAATCCTCCTGTATTAACCATGAAACCTATGCTACTTACATAAATACCCTTGTTGTAGTATAGCTTGGGGAAACTAAAAACCCAAGGCTGAGTCCTATACTTAAGAAAGAAGAGAAAGAAAGAAAGAAAGAAAGAAAGAAAGAAAGAAAGAAAGAAAGAAAGAAGAAAGAAAGAGAAAGAAAGAAAAAGGAAAGAAGCAGAGTAGGAAAAGGACAGAACCTAAGGAAAATTACAAATAGGAATTGAGAAATATACAAGAGTAGTAATTTAGAGCAGGCTGGAAATCATCCCACCCTAACCAAGAATTAATAGAAATACCGAGTAAGGCAATAGGCCTCTCACAATACTTAAAATGGGAGTTCATCTATTACATTTGGACATAGAAAAAAACTGTAGGTAATATCAAAAAGCTGGAGTACATGGGACATCTTTGCTTCACTATATAACACTTTACCATATAATAATGGTTGTCATTAGTTTCTTACTTCCCATGTGTCAAAGAACCTAAAAAGCTATTTTAGAATAAGTAGATTTATGGCTTATTTTGTATTTATATCTTTGACTCAATGTTTTCTACTATGTTTCATCATTTCACAATATGAAATATTTCCATCAAAAAAAAAAAAAACCAAAAAAACCCCCCAAAAAACCCTCCTCTCTCATCCTAAAAATACACCCAAATCAATCAGTGTTATTCTCACTCAAATGCATAGATAGGCTGTCACGTACTTACGGACCGCTTGGATGGAAATACAAAAAAGGAACATTTTTAATGTCAGTTAAGAATAATCACTCGTATGGACCATAACTGACACTGAAACCAGTTTCTTCGTCAATGTTTGTGTAGGAGATGGCTTGGAAATGGACCAACTTTTTAAGGCCCACCTGTGTCAAATTGGTCTAGAGGTAAGGATCATGCGATGCAGATAACATTTTTATTTACTTCTTGGAATTCTATTCTACGTCTAAATACTTGACATAAAAAATCCTAGAATATTGCAATTTAGAATATTTGAGTGAAGTAAGCAAGTTAGACAAAACAAAAGGTTGAAGAACATTATGAATCCCCACATCAGATAAGATCCTTGATTTTTGTGAGGTGATATACTTGCCAGTAAAATAGCATTAGGTAGAACAAATAAAGAACAGAACAAATAAATGGAACAAAGTTGAAGAGTTGAAGAATCCTAAGTATAACTCCAATCACTGCTGTTTCAGAGGACGAGCAATAAACTTCTCAAGAGAGAAAATAAAGTAGATTTTGGTTTCTATGTGGGTATTAACAACTTGGCATCCACGAAAAAGTGATATATACTCATAGGGAGGCACTTGATTTTCAACTAATCCTAAAACAATTCAATTTAGCAAAACTCTACTGGTAAAGGCCATTTTACAATTGATTTTTTGTGTGTTGATTTTGTGTCTTACAAACTTGCAAAATTCACTTATTAGTTTGAATAAGTTTTTGCAGATTCAATTGGATTTTCTACAGAGACGATCTTGCCATCTGTCAATAAAGATAGTTGTACTTCTTCCTTTCCAATCTGTAGGCCTTTGGATTTTGAGGGAGTACAATATTGAATATAAGTGGTGAAAGCATACAACCTTCACTTGTTCCTGGTCTTAGAGAGGAAAATACTCAGTCTTTCATCATGGAGTATAATTTTAAATAAGGTTTTTTATAATTCTTTAGCAGGCTCAGGAAGTTCTCTTTTAATCCTAGCTTTCTGAAAGATTTTAACAAGGAATGGATGTTGGATTTTGTCAAATGCTTTTTCTGCATATATTTGAGCTTATCATTGGGTATTAAATTGATAGATTTTTCAAATATTAAACTATCCTTGCATTCCTGGGTTTATCTTGGTCATGACATATTATCACTTCTGTATACTGCTGTAATAGATTTTTTTATTATGTTAATCACCATACATTACATCATTAGTTTTTGATGTAGTGTTCCATGATTCATTGTTTGCTGTAATTGATTTTTAAAAATTTTCTTTGATAGTTTATGTCTTTCAAGAAATTTGTCTATACCAATTAAGTTACCTTAATTATTAACATGAAATTATACATAATATTCCCCTATTATCTTTCTTCTTTTAGATCAAAATGACATATAACATTGTATTAGTTCTAAGTATACAACATAATGAAAAAAAAATAATTAAAAAAAATAAATAAGTATACAACATAATGATTTGATATATGTATATATTGTAAAATGATCACCACAATAAGTTTAATTAACATTCATCACTGTACCTAGGTACAATTTTTCTCTTAGGATGAAAACTTTTAAGATTTACTACTCTCTTAGCAACTTTCAAATATACAGTATAATAGTGTTAACTATAGTAACCGTCCTGTACATTACATCCCCAGGGCTTATTTATCTTATAACTGGAAGTTTAGATCTTTTGACCTCTTTCAACCATTTTTTCTATACCCCACCTGCACCCTCAACATCTGACAACCACCAATCTGTTCTATGTACTTATGGATTTAATTTTTTTATTTTTTTAATTCCCCATCTAAGTGAAATCATACAGTATATGTCTTTCTCTGTTGGACTTATTTCATTTAGCATAATGCCCTCATGGTCATCTATGTTGTTGCAGATGGCAAGATTTCATTCTTTTATATAGTTCAGTAATATTCCATTATATATATAGTGTGTGTGTGTAATATAATGAATGTAAAGTACATATATATACCACATCTTCTTTATTCACCCATCGATAGATACTTAGGAAATGTTCATGTCTTAGCTATTGTAAATAATGCTGCAATGAACATGGAGGTACATCAATCTTTTCAAGTTAGTGTTTCATTTCCTTTCGATATATACCCAGAAGTAGAATTGCTGGATCATAGAGTAGTTCTATTTTCAATATTTTGAAGAACTTCCACACTGTTTTCCAAAATGGCTGCACTAATTTATATTCCCACCAAGAGCGCATGAGGGTTCCCTTTCTCCACATCCTTGCTAGCACTTGTTATTTCATGTCCTTTTGATAACAGCCATTCTAACAAGTGTGAGGTCATTGTGGTTTTGGTTCACATCCCTCATTATTAATGATGTTGAACACCTTTGCATGTATCTGTTGGCCATTTGCATGTCTTCTTCCCTAATTATCTTTTTAAATATTTGTATAATCTGTGGTGATGGCACCTCTCTTTTTCCTGACACTTGCAATATGTGTCTCCTCTCTTTTTTTTCCTGACCAGTCTGACAAGACTGCCCCATAGCAGTTTGAAACCTCAATACCGCTATCAGACTGGCCTCTCCAGATCTAATGATCTATCACTGACAGCTGAATTTCCTCAACCTACAGCCTCCTTCATCACCAACCAAACCCAGGGCCCAGTGAGTGAGGAATAAGTCTGGGGTGTTCATGTAGCCAGATCCTGTTGGCCTAATCCATTAGATTGAGTGTCTGGCTCTATCTCCCTCTCTACATTCTGCCAAAATAACTGGCCTAGAATTCCAGCCCCCATGTTTACCCTATTTCATACCACCCCACACACAAACTGTAGAATTGGGATTCTGCCTTGAACCTCAATAAATAACAAGAGGTCCCTAGTCTTTTGCCTCAATTATGATAAGCCCTTTTCTTTACCTGATTAGTATACTCTGAATTTGTCCACCAATGGCAGGGGATCTGGAGATTTGTGGAGACATGCACCCTGTTTTTCCTGACTTCCAAAATTGCTATTTAATATTCTTTATTGCTGTTCTCCAGCAGAAAGAATGATTCCTGTTACTATAATTTCCCATTTGTTACTTAGGCTTATGCCTTTCCATGGACCAAACTATATACATGGGAGTCAGCTTGCCAAGGCTGTTTCATCTACACTATTTCCTCCTTTTCCTTTCTGATGGAACATCACTCTCATCCCAGGATATCTCAAACTTAACGCCCATCCAAATTTAATATGACGATCATCCTGCCATTTAGGAATACTTTTTATTAACATCAATACATACTGAATAAAGTCCAAACAACTTGCTCCAAATTGAAGTTTCTCAGCAATCTGGTCTCAAGTTTCCTTTTTCAATTATCTATTACTATCCAACAAAGCTGGTCGTTGAGCTGTCCCTGAAATATTCTTGACTTCTCCCCACCTTTGGGGCTTCAGCTGACAATTTTTCCTTGAGCAAGCATAACTAACTACCTTCCTTCCTTGTATTAAAATTATATTCCTATTTCAAGGCCAAATTTAAATCCTACCTTCCCTCCCAAATGATTGGTTTAAGGGTATCCTCCCAGGCTGAGATAGAAGAACAGAATGATAAGTAATAGAAGCTACACTAGAAGAAAGTTTCCCAAGGAAGGGACCTCAAACATCATAGACTATAGGCCTTTTGAGAGCCAAGCCATAAAGAACATATCCTTATCCTTTGTCCAAGAGGCCTTGTGGACTTTTCTTCTTTATCAGACAAGAAATAGCTTCTAGTATGGCCAAAAAGCATTGTTTATATTACCCTAAACTCCCTTTTTAATGAGTGATGGCAAGATCAGAAGCAGCGCAAATGAAAATGGCATAAAGACACAGCCTGTCACTTTTAGAAGTGTTAATGAATGCCCTGTGGATTTTTTTTTTTTTTTTAACTTCATGAGAACAGACAAGGAAATGTCTCCATAAAACTGTCGATTCTCAGGGAAACGTGTTAATGTTATGTAAATTAAAATTTGAAAGTCTACTTAACTGAAATCAGTAACTCAGTAACACCAAGAGTTGTGCATATGGAAAACACAATTCCTCAGTCCCAAGAACAGAGCTGTCCAATCTGCTGAGAGCTCTACATTATCTCCAGCTTGGCCATTTTAGGAATTGCTCCCATTCTATGTTACAGTGTAAGCGAGGAGTTCTAATTGACTCCAAAGAGATTTTCCCTGGTTGGTAACTGGTGGTGTGAGGCTGTATCTGTCCAGAAGCAGAAGACAAACCTGATTTCTCTCTTTGAGAAAATTTCATAAAGGCTAAAGTATTCTCGAGAAATGGAAGTAATTACACATGTACGCCCTGAAGACACTTTTCATCCGTGTGATTCCTAAATTTTTCCATTAGACAAATAGGATTTTTTTAAAAGTTTGAAATGAACTTTTTGTGGGGATTTGGCTATAGATACTAAAATATAAATTAAGTAGCATTCCCATTCTTTATTTTATTTAAATGTTAAAAAGGCAGTTATATTTCCATTCTTTTTCTCATTCCTTACCAGCTTCAGGCAAAAAACTTTTTAACCATGCTACCCTCTGGTAGCACAGTTAAAAGAAATCATGAAATTATAAGTCACAGTATGTATAATATTTATAAATTTTTATCATGGCATTAGCTAAGAGAAAGCCTGAGGCTTTCCAACCTGGCAAAGGTATATTGCTCTGTTAATAATTAATAGATAGGTTATGGCTATATAGTTGTTGTGGGTGCCCAGCTACAACACTGAAGAAAATTTAAGAAGGGTAGGATTATTTTACATAAAGAAATGTAAGGTCAATAGTTTAAGCCAAAAAAGCCCCACAACTTTTTTTTTTTTAAAGAAACCCAAAATAACCTTGCCCGAACTTGATGTACTCTAGTGCTATGATTCTCAAAGTGTGATCCACAGACCAGCAGAAAAGCATCCCTGGGAGTTTATTAGAAATGCCAAACCTCAAGCCTCACCCAGATCCCCAGAATCAGGGTTTGCATTTTAATAAGATCCCCTGGAAAGCTGTAAGCACATGAAAACTTGAGAAGTACTACTCTAGAGCCAAGCGTAACTGGGAGAAGAATGATGTGAGAAATGACTATGCAAAGACAAATAATGTCCTTCATATGTGCCATGAAGTGTGTACCGATGAGAAGGACTGGAGGGTTTTCTTAAGCAAAGGACTGACGTCATGTGTGACTTATAAAGATAGTTCTAGTGGCCATGTGGAGATACATGTTTGTGAAGAGAGCATGGGACATGGAAAGTTCAGTGATGGGCTACAGTAACATGATAAGAATGATAACTCCTATTTATTGAGTGCCCAGTACATGCCGGACATCATGGTATTTATATTTTATATTTATATTTATATTTTATATGTGTTGTGTATAGTCTTCCCATAATCCCCAACGTGGGCCTCAAACTTACAACTCTGAGATCAAGAGTCACAAGTTCTACTGACTGAGCCAGCCAAGCGTCCCCCCAAATGATCTTTTAAAAATAGAAATCCTCTGTTTAGCATCCAAATTAGAATAAAATGTAAATTTTGTAACCCAAGTCCACAGGCCCATAATAATTTGGCCCCTGCCTCTATCTGAGATCTCATTTTGTGACACACTCCCCCATCACTGTATTCATCACACTGTACATTGAATAACACCAAGATTTTTTCCCCTTTCAGGACTTTGCACTTGTGCTTTGCTTAGATCACTCTCATCCCAAGTGTTTAAACTTGTTACTTAAATATTTTAAAAATATAATCAACTATTGAAAGTAAAAATGATAACAAGGTCCAAGGGGCTTAATAACATGTATAAGTGAAAGGAAAAAAAAAAGGATGTATAAGTAAAATGCATGACAGCAATACCACAAAGACAGAGAGGGAAATAAAGGAAGAACACTTTAAAGTTCTTATTCTATATGTAAAGTATTAGAGTATCACTTACAGGTAGGCTGTGAGAAGTTAAAGAGGTATAATATATACCCTAAAATAACCACTAAAATAATATAGCAGAGAGTTATAACTAATAAACTCACAAAGGAAGTAAAATGGAATCCCATTAAGTTAAACTAGCATATTAGCAATCTATTAAATAACACAAATTTAAAAGAGGGGGAAGGAATATTGTATAT